TTACTATCTGAGATAGATGTCTTTTGTTTCTAGCTCCATGTGGAATTAATCATCTAAATAGGGAAATAAGAGTGTATTGTGTTTTAAGGCAAACATGAGTGTGAAGTGAATAGGATTTAATTTTTATGTTTGTAACAGTGAGAATTAAGCCTAAGTACAGGAAAACAGTTTACTGGTTAACTGGAATATCCTCTAACAAGTATGTGATGGGTGAGCTGCTCTGTTCTGTCTCTCAGACCGTTCCTGGCTGATTTCCTTTTGCATGGGGAGGTTTCTGGATGTGTTTGTGTGCATGGCTTACACAAAAATGGCTCTGTAGCCAATTTATATGTGTTTCCAAGTAGTTGGTTTGCCTGGAATGGGTGCGGGACTCATTTTATCTATTAATTTAATGATGACCTGAAACCAGTAAACGGAGGAAAAATCCTGGACTTCTGGAATTATTTATTAATTTATTTGGTTTTTTAACTGAAGCATTCTTTCCACAAGAAGATCAGAGGTGTGGAAGCTTTAGAGCCAAGTCTAGCTTAGAGTGATTGGTGAAACAGAAGGAAGGAGAAGCACAGCAGAGACAGGGACTGCTTGCCATGCGGGGGATGCTGCTGCATCCCAGAGAGTGAGGGAGTGGAATGATGGCAACTGGGACGGTGGGAAAGAAGGGGTGGGAAGGGGAGTGCTGGGGATTTGTCTTCCCAAGGCAAAGTTTGCCAGACCCTCCTCAAAGCAAAGAACGGTGTGGGGAAAGGGTGTGTGATTTTAGTTTCCTAGATGAAGCGGCACTTGCAGGGGTGGAGGGGCTGGCAGGGCTGTTCACCTGCTGCCAGCTGCAGGCGTGTGCGTGGGGATGGCAAGAGCAATGAGAAGCGGGGACTTTCTGCTGCCCCACCAGAGCCATTTTGAGTGTGGCAGGGCAGAGGCTCGAGCGAAAGGGCACCAGGAGTGGCTGAATGGGGCAAAGCACAGAGGCAGGGGCATTGCAGCAGGGAGTGGCACCACTGGCAACCCTACTGTGCATCCCGCCAGCAGCCCACTGTGACTGGGAAATATACTTCACTCCGTGTTTGCTTCTCTTCAGCTTTTTAAGTAATATTCACTGAATCCTTGATAAAGCCCTAGGTTGCAGTTTGGATCTGAAGTAACACTCAGGCTTCACCAAGTTTCCTGTTAGTTCTCAACGAAGTGGTTAAATCACTGTGTAAAGGAAATCTCCCACCCAGGCCAAGGTGTTTGTTTGATACCTCTGCTCCCCCCACAACCTGTACGGTGGAGAATCCAGAACACAGGGGCACAGCGGAGCTGGTTTTTCCAGCAGCACCTGAAGCTGTGACCTGCAGCCTTACCAGGCCATGCCACGACCTGGTGCCTGGAAAAGAGACCAGCCCTGCAGTGGGTTGTGTCCCTTCCCAGGTATTTGCAAGCGTCAGGGATAGAATAAAGTATCTGAGACTGGCCCAAGTCCCATCTCCCAGCTACTCTTAGTAAAAATCAGCTTTGTAGCAGAACAAGCAGCTGTCTTATTACGTTTGGATAGTTACTTGTTTGCATTTGAACAGATGTGTGAGCCACTGTGTTGCCAGAAGGGGCATCATTAACACTGAAGGAAGTTAGCAGTAAGTTAACACGTGAAAGGCTGAGTTTAAAATAGTGACTTTCTGTAGCCCCTAATTGTCTTACCCTGAAGAAAGAGAGGACGAGCTACAGGAAGTGCAATGGGCAGAGACCTCTCTGAGCATACTGATTGCTACAGGGGGAAAGGGGCAGCATGGTAAAGGCAGAAACTGCGGGAATGTAAAGAACAAACACAGAAAAGTAAAATATTTTCTTCAACTGGGAAGGCAAGCTGTCCAATACCAATTTCCACCTCCTCTGTGCTGTGCCTGCAGGGCTCGAGTAGGAGCCTTCAGGGAAGGAGAGATCCTGTCAGGGCAGGCCACTGCCACAGCTTGACATCTCTGTCATTTTGTCTGGGTTGTTTTCAGCTTGTGAGGTGTTATGCAGCAAACAGCAATGAATTTAGATGATACCAGGAGTGACAAGGTCTGATGTGAAGAGGATGAAGGGAGGCTCTGGAAGATTTTAGAAAGCTGGTGGGCTGGCTGTGCCTGTCTGCGATGGTGGTGGTGTAGCACAGATGGACAGGCCTCACTCCGCGTGTCTGAACATGGCTGCTCCGGCAGCCGGGGAGGGGGAAACTCTTCCCTGATATGGTACATAAGGGAATGTGTGCCCAGCCTGCCCAGCTGGACTAGAAACCTGAAATTCCAGCAGGCACAGCACTGAAGTCATAGTGAGAAGCAGAGGGCTGTGAGAAGCAGAAGAAGGCGATAAGAAAAATCTGGTTTTGAGCTATTATGACAGGAAGCACAAAACCGGTTGTCAGTGTCTTCAAGAATTATAAAAGGTTTGAGCAATGCCCTAGCACACATGCTGACAGGATTGGCTGTGAAATATCTACAGGGAAAAAAGGCAGCACTGGCTTTTGTCCCTGGATGCCAATGGCTTCACATCTGCATTTATGGAGCTGAAGCATTGCAAATGTCTTTTTGCGATGGCAGACACTTCCTCTGGCTAGAGAGCGATCTTTCAGCTACTGTGCAGCGTGCAAATTATATACAAAACTATAACAGCATGTGGAAGTATATTGGGAGAAAATCCTTGACTTACATGTCTTCCATTATGGTCTTAAAACTATAAAGCACCACCTCGTTACATCGTAGAGGAATATGGACAGTGATCGCAACCTTGGAAATGAAATACTGATGTGAATAATTCAAGATTTTTTGCAAAGGCAAGACCAGAGCAGCCCCTTCTTATTCACAAATGTCAGCTGAAGTGGGAGTGCTGCTCTGTTTTGTATGGGATTTTACTTAATAACACCAGGTAGTGCAGAAAAATAGGTTGAAGAATATATGAGGGTTATTTAGAAATTGAGAAGTCTAAAAAAAGACTAGGCATCTGTTATTGTGGGTTCAAATAAGCCCTGAAAACTTCCTTAGTACTATTGCTATTGATTTACTTTACTTTTACTTTACTTTTGCTTTACTTTATTATGCCCAACTCTACCTAACGTTAAGCCATGAAAATGGCAAGGAAAAAACTGTTAGCAAAGTTGGTATAGATCTGTTTGCTTTGCCTCTTCATCTGACCTATAAATTCTACCTTATGGAGCTAGCCTTGCTCAAGAGTACTACACCAGGGCAGATAACCAGCTCTATAATATTGGGGTTCGTGTTTGTTTGAGAGCTGGTTTGGGGTTTTTTTGGCTAAGATGTGATCATTTAGTATTGCTCTGTTGGGCTCCCTTTGAACTGTGGGTGTTAGTCCAAGCTGTCGTGCTAGTCATGGTCTCCAGGCCAGCCCAGTCACCACGACTGGCTTTAAGCCCCATCACTGGACTTTGATAACATAACTTTTTCCACCACTATTTGGTTAGGCTGTTGTTCCAGATGGTGGCTTCAGTCTTCAGTTAGCACCGAGGACATCAGAGATGAGATGGTCTGTGCATCAGTCTGCATAGACCTCAGCATGGGTCAGCCCAGGGCAGCCCTTCTTGTGCTGTGCTCTGGAGAGCAAATTCATGGAAAGGTAAGGCCAGCACTTATAGTATCAGGATTACGTTTTTGTTTCCTGTAGGGACTGAGCAATTTTACTGAGTGCCATTTACAAAAACTTAACAGTTCAGAGAGTTTGCTTGATGGAGCAATTGTGACTCTCCTCAGGATTTCCTCTTCTTCTTGTTTAAAGACCTCTGCCTTCTGCCAGGTGCTCAGCACCCTCCAGAGAGATGCCGACTGCTCCTCGGGGGTGTCCCCCCACCCCTGGAGCCTGCCGGCATCTCTGGCACCTGCAAGGTGCTGGGTTGCAGCCTGTGGCAGTTGGTCAGCCGGGTTTCTGCTTCTCTGATCCCATGGTCAGGAGCCAGATTTCTTCACTCTTGCTGAAGAAGTGCTTTTTCCTAATCATCTGGAAAGTGACCCTTCCTTCTGTTCAGTGGAAGTAGGACACTGTGTGGCCGTAGGTTTGCATCCCATCATGAGAGTGACAGACCTCACCACTTTGTCTGCTCTGCTGGAGCTTTGCCTTTGCCAGCAGATACTCTGCTCTTCTTTCCATCAGCTACTAACACAATTTCCCTAAATGAACTACTGTCTAATGCTTTTTTTGAAATAACTATTGTAATTGTATTTTGAAATAACTAAAAATAATATAAAAATTATTACTATGTCTTTTAATTGCTTTTGTTATTCTTTACACTCTTATTTCTAAGACTGTGCATTTTTTTTTCCTAAAGCTTCCCAGGAAATATTTGTCCAGCCTTTTTTTTAACTGAGAGAGATTTGGTTGCAGTATATGATAGTGTATTGATTACATAGCATAAGGTTTAAAGATAGCTTTATAAAACATTGTTATTTCATTTGGGGAAGGCTCATTGTATTTTTATTGTTGAATATATTCTAAATGACTTTGTTAAATATGTAGAGTGCTTAGAGGATGAAACATATGAAAAGACAGTAGCAAACTAGCAGATAAGTTCTCTACTCCTTTGAGCATTGTATAATCATTTACATGTGGGCAAAGCAAGTGTGGGTGCAGTTAAAACACTGGCAGTATCTTTTAAGTGTTTAATGCAAGGTTTAAATTATAGTGTGAGATAACCACACACTGGAGAATAGCCCCAGAATCAGCTCAATCTCACACTGGCAAAACAAGGTCAGATCAAAGACTGTTTTTCCTGCATTGTCAAGAGCATTTAAACACCTCCCCTGCATTGAATTAACTTTGCAATATGCAGCATTAGAAAAATTTATCTAAACAACATTTTTTTTCAGATGAAACATGACATTGCTTATGCTTGTGTTTCAAAATCTATGCATGTGCAGTATTTTTACAACTTTGAAGAGTATTTTTGCTTTAATGCAAAAAATATAGATTTTACTGCAAAAATTTAATTTGTTATGTGCTTTTACAGCTTGTTCTTCTTTTGCTCTTTTTGTTTTTAGTTTAAAAGATCTAATCCAAAGTGAAGACGTGAAACCCAAGCTGCAGTACATCATGACTAACCCTTCCTTTTCTATGGTAACAGTTCAAAGTGAAGACAGTGGAATAACCTGGGAAACCAGCTCGAGCAGATGTTCTACTCCCTGGGCCTCAGAAACTAGTACAACTTCTGATCTTTACAGTATGGAAGGTTCACCAGTAGGTTCTCCTCCAGGAAAAGTTATCTTTATCATGGATGAAGGTAAGATTATTCAGAAAAGGAAGCGCAAATCTTCAAATAGGGTGCCAATGGCTACAAGCCTGAAGATAAGCCAGGGCAATAAAAAACGTGATGCTTCTGGAGTACAGAGGCAAGAACCAAGAACTGTTCTAGGAGATGTGCAGGCCTCCGTGTTGAATGTTGAACAGGTGGAAGCACAAGACACAGATGAGGAAATGTTGGATGACAAAGAAGATTCAGAGAACATCGCAGAAGAGCCAGTAAAACGTGCTCCAATAAGATCAATATTTAGAGAGAGCAGACTGAGAAAAGTAGGGCCGATCCTTGGAGGACCAGTGCAAGCTAGAATCCAGATGTTCAACTCGATTTTTGAAGGGGCTGAACCAGTACCTGAAACATTGGAGAAAACCAGAGTCCAGAGAAGTAGCTCATTTTCAGGAGACTCTGAACAGTTCCTTGAAACATCAGTAAAAGAAAGACTGCAGAAGCTCAGTTCACTTTCAGAAGCAGCACACCCAAAACCTTTCCAGAGAGCAAGAAGTAGAAATCTTGAAACACCATCAGAGAGAAGGGAGCAAAGACCACAACCCACAGCACGTGCAAATCAAAGCTATTCTTCACCAACAACACCTCTTGAAAAACGAGCTACTAATAAAGATGATGCTTCATCTGAAAATATTAAACGCATTAAAATGAAAGATAAACCAAGCAGATTTTCAAGCTTCGGAGCAAAAACAACTCTTCAACATGAAGAAAGGAAAGACAGACAAACTTTTTCAGAGACTCCAAAACAGGTATCAGGACATTCACTGAAGTCCTGCCCTCCTGAAGAAGTCAGGAAGCAGCAGAGTTTTTCACTTGCAGACAAAATGTCAATAACAGAGCAAACAACCTCTGTTTCACTAGAGTCCGATGATAAATCAGAGAAACAATTGCCACTTCCCTCAGCCAAAAATGCAAACAAGAAACCCAACCAATCCCCGCTGACAGCATCAGATCATCTGGATGAACCAAAGGAGCAGGAAATTGAGTCTAATTCTGCACCACAGTCTGTTTCAGCAGATTTTGTTAATGAATTAGATAGACAACGTACCCAATCTATTTTGTCTACAGCATCCATGTCAAAACATCCTCAAAGGGAAGCACAGATGTTGGCGGTTCAGTCTTACTTACCTAGTGCTCCAACATCTACATCCAAATATTCCACTCTATCTGAAACAAGACAGGAAGATGTTATTCCTCAGTCACCAGAAACTGCACAAGCTGAGTGTGAACGTGTGCTTTTATCACATTCTGTAGATGAAACAGAGAAGCAAAAAACTGAGTGTCACTCATCAAAAACTGTACTGTCAGAAACTCAGCCTTTGGGTCTATCTTATTCTTCTAGAAAAAAGGAGGATCAAAAGACCCCACCACCAGAAACCCAAAATGTTCTCTTAGAGAAGCAAACAAAACCAGAACAAGACTTTTCTTCCTCCCTTCAGGAAACAAAGGAGCAAGGAGTTAAACTAAATTCACCTGTTCCTGAAAAGATGGATTCTAAATATTTTGGAATTTCATATCCTATTCACACAGAAACAGAAGAAACTCAGAAAACTTCGGTTATAAATAAAGTGGTAGATGTGGATCGCCCTGATTTTTCAATTGAAAAAGTCAAACAAGCAGAGAGTGTGCAAATGGAGATGGGGCATCCAGATTTCTCATATTCCAGCAAAGAAATTGGGGAATCAGAGAGAACACAGATGGAGACAGAGCATCCAGATTTCTCTTTTTCCAAAGAAGAAAGAGAGGAACTGGAGGGTGCACAGATGGAGATGGAGCATCCAGACTTCTCTTTTTCAAGGGAAGAAATGGAGGAACTAGAATGTGCACAACTGGAGACAGCACATCCAGATTTCTCATATTCCAGGAAAGTAACAGAGGAATTCGAAAGTGCAAAACTGGAGACAGAATATCCAGAATTGCTTTTTTCCATGAAAGAGAAAAAGGAATTGGAGAGTGTCCAACTGGAAACAGAGCATCTAGATTTCTCATATTCCAAGGAAGAAACAGAGGAATCAGGGAGTTCACAACTGGTGAAAGAGTATCCAGAATTTTTTTCCAGGGAAGAAACAGCAGAATCAGAGAGTGCACAGCAGGAGATGGAGCATCCAGACTTTTCTTTTACCAGGGAAAAATTATCAGAAAGTACACAGCTGGAGATAGAGCACCCCAATTACTCATATTCTAGCAAAGAAACTGGAGAATCCAGAAGTGTACAACCGAAGATGGAGCACCCGGATTTCTCATATTCCAGAGAAGAAATGGTAGAATCAGATAGTGTACAGCTGGAGTTGGAGCATCCAGACTTTTCTTTTTCCAGGGAAGAAGTGGAGGAATTGGAAAGTGCACAGCTGGAGATGGAACATCAGGAGTTTTTATTTTCCAAGGAAGGAACAGAAAAACAAAAATCTGTTCCTTTTGAACTGGAACAGCCAGAGTCTTACTCCCCTGAAGAAGGAGAGCAAGAAGAAACAGCACAGCTTGCACTGGTACCTTCGGATTTATCATGTTTGATGGAAGAAGCAGAGAAAGAAAACACTACAGAAGTCCAGTTGGTCCATCCAGATATATCTGATTCCACCAGAAGAGCTGAGACACAACAAACGGAGTATCTGGAAACAGCATGTTCAGATTTACCACATCCTAGAAATAAAACAGAGCAGCAAGAATTGACACAAGCAGATTTGGACAATTCTCTCACGTTGTATTTTGGTGACAAAGGAGAACAGCTGCAATGGGGTTCACAATCTGAAGGTAAACTGTATTCACATGCCAAGGGAGCACAAGGAGAAACTACCCAACTGCAGTCAGACCATCCAGTTTCGTCATATTCTACTGGAAAAGAACAGCAACATAGAACCTCACAGCTGTGGGCAGAACAGCCAGAGACATCAGATTCCACCAGCAAAACAGAACAACGGGAAATCTTGCAACCAAAGTTGGAACAAGCAGGTTCACCGTATTCGCAAGGTACAGCACAAGAAGCTGTACAAAAAGACTTAGAAGGTCCAGAGACATCACGTTTCATTAGTGAAGCAGAGCAACAAGAAAATGTACAACTAGCTTCAGAAAACAGGGATTTCTCACTTACCACTGGAGAAGCAATGCAAGAAGGAGTGGAGTCAGGATCTTTGGGGTTCTCATATTTGATTGACAGACCAAAGCCCTTGAAAATGGCACAGATGGAGCAGGAGCAGTTGCTTCCCTCCAGTTCCACTGCTGGTGGTCAGCAGCAGGAAAAAACACCTCTGGATGTGGCCCAGACAAGTATATCCTATTCCTTTGGCAGAATGGAACAACCCAATACAGTAGAAAGAGAGATAGAAGAGCAGGAAACAGCCCAACAAAAAGCTATGCAAATGGAAATGGAGTATTCAGATTTGTCAGAAACCTGGGGGAAGGAAGAGCCACAGGTCATAGACCAAATTGATTTGTCACAGGAAGAAATAGCTCACCCAGAATTAGTGCATTCATCTTTGCCATATTCTTTCAGTGAACAAATGCAAGAAGAAATGCAAACAGAGCCAGCTTATCCAGAGCAGACATTTTCTGTAGGTACAGAAATGCAGAAGGAAATGGCACAACACGAATCAGAGCAACCATTTCATTCATGTTTTTCTGGCAAAAGAGAACAGCGAGAAATAGTATGTCCAGAGCTAGAGCAAACGTTTTTGCCATCTTCCAGTGGAAAAGAAGCTCCGCTAGAAGTGGAAATGAGTTCAGAATATCCAGATTTGTCATATTCCTTTAATGAAGCCGAACAACAAAAAAAAATGAAACATCCAACCTTACCATTTTCTTTGAAGCAACGAGAAACTGCACCACTAGTGATGCAACACTCAGATTTTTCATGCGACAGTGGTGAAGCAAAACCAGCTGATATCATAGAGCAGAAGTCAGGACATCCACGGCTCTCATACTCCATGGGAGAAACACAACCACAATCAGGACATTTGTATTCACCAGGAACCTTGGGTGAAGCACCACAATATGAAAGTACAGACGTAGAACCTAAATATCCAAATTTATCATGTTCTGATGGCCAAAGAAACCAGCAAGAAGCTTCACAATTGGATTCAAAATATCCAGATTTGTCATTTTCCTTTAGTAAAGCCAAAGAACAAGCAAATCCAGAATTTGCGTCTAAAAATCAAGAATTGCCTAAAGTTACCAGAAAAAGAGCTTCTCCAGCAACCGTACAAATAGAGTCAAAGCATCCAGATTTGACATATTCCCTTGGCAAAGCAAATGAGCTAGAAATTGCAACATGGGAAATTAAGCATCCTGATTTGTCACATTCCGCTGATGAGACAAACCGACAAAAAATAGTACTGTTGGATCAGAAACACAGGAAAATTTCTGTTGGTAGAGAAAAGGAGCAGCACACCACAAAACAGGAGTTAGAGCAAGAAAAGTTACCATATTCTCCTGGTAAAACAGAGCAATTAAAACATGCTCAGGGTGACTTCAAACAACCAGATGTATCATTTTCCATTGACAGGCCAGATGATGAAAGGGGTCCACCAGAGGCAGAGCACACTGATCTGAAGTATCCTCTGGACAATGCAGAGGTGCAAGGAAGACTGCCACAAGAAGGAGAGCAAACCTACCTGTTTGGAAAAGCAGAACAGAAAAAGGTTCAGCCAGAAATAGAAATTCCACATTTGGCCTATTCTGTGGGTACAGCAGCAGCAGAAGAAATGGCAGAACCAGGGCAGGGACATCCTGATTTGCTTTATTCTGTTTTCAAAGCAGGAGGACAGACAGCGGCACAGCTGAAACCTGAAAGCCCTGCTCTACCGGGTTCCCTTGACAAAGTGCAGGAAGTGAACCAGCTGGGGTTGGAACAGCCAGATGTGTTGCATATTCTTGACAAAACAGAGCAACTCCCCCATGCCCAGCTGGAGCTGGGCCGTACAGACTTGGCATCCCCTGCTGACAAAGTGGAGCAGCAAGGGATAGAGCACACAGCCTTAAGATGCCCTGGTGAGGGACAGGCTGTCAGCAGAGCAGAGCATCCACAAGCTGCAAAAGAGAAACTAGGAGAAAATGGATCATCTCATAGTGGAAAAGTGGAGAAAAGAGAACTGGAAGAAACAGAGCCAAAGCATCCTGATTTATCATATTCCATTGATAAAACACAAACACAAGAGACAACACAGCTGGTGTTAGGAAAACCAGATCTATCACCTTGGCCTGGCAAAACAGAGCAAGCACAAATTGCTCAAGAGGAGCAGCCAGGCGTCTTGCATTCTTTCAGAAAAGCTGCACAGGGAGAGAAAGCACAGCCAGAATTGGAACACTCACAGTTATCTTACTCTCTTAATGAAGCAGAACAAGAAACTGTAGATGTGAAATCAAACCATTCATATTTATCTGCTGGCAGATTAGAACACCATGACATCATACAAACAGAGGCAGCAATAATGGATTTGTCATGTTCAGTTCGTGGAACACGGCAGCCTCAAATTGCTGAAGTGGATTTGGCGTGTCCAGATTTGTTGGATTCCACAAGCACAGTACAGCAACAAATAAAGATTCAACCAGAGAAGGAACAGCCAGGTGATTTTTCATCATCTTTCAGC